AGGAAGCATTTCTCACCCATTGTAACCCAGTTTTAAATAAGTAGTCTACTCTTGCTTAGGAAACATTTGCACTGAGCTTGGAAGTGGGAGAGGAAAGCAAATGCCTAGTTCAAAATTGAACAGAMGTTATGCTAAGTGTGCAACCGTACTTTAATATTGTTACTGACCATCAGAACACCACTGACAGATTCCTTTGTAATCTCTTTTCTTACAGATGGAGCCATCCAGCAGAGTCAGCCCTCCTCTCAGGAAGAAGTTGATAAACTCAACAAGGAAAATGCCAAGAGGGAAAGTCCCGTTCTGCTTGAAGTGGATCTTCCAGAATTACAAACKGAAGAGTCAGAGGACAAAGGAGAAAGTTTGTCTTTAGAAAGCCATTATGAATATAGGAGAAATTCTTTTCAGGAATCCTTAACTCCAGAAAAGCAGCAGGAAGAAGATGCTGTTGTTGATGATGCTTGTCAAAAACTAACTGTGCAGGAGATAGAGARTGAGTCCCCAGCAGAGGAGGAGAAGAAGGAGGAACACCAAGTGCCTGAAGATGAACAACAAGAAGAGAAAGTGGATGAAGGGGAGGAAAATGCTGATAAGAGTGAAAAAAGTGCTGAGGAACCACCAGCTCCCTCCCAAAAGGAAGATGAGGCAGAACAAAGTCATGATGAAGAGGTATCAGAGGGAAGGTAAGGTCTGAAACTCAAACTACACATTCTTAGGAGATCCTTGCTTCAGAGAAATGTGTAGTTGAAATTTGAAGTCAAAGTGGCTGGTTAATATAAATATTGGTGAAAATCTGRCCCAATACAAAAGTGAAAAATATGTTTATGTCTCTGATCTAAGTGAAATAATACTCTTAAAAAAGATAGTCAAACAACCCACCACACATGTTATTAGCAGTRTGCTATGGTGGTTTGCTTGGGAAATGTGTTAGGGACATGGAAATTATGTTATGTTATTTTTTATCTTGGAAGAGAATTCTCCCAGACTGTAATGTCATATAACGTGAGCAAAAAGATTAGGCCATCTGCCAACTGGAATTAACTTACTGCAAAATGTAGTAASTTAAGGGGTAACATAAAAGTGTGAGAATTTGCCTAGGCAATTAACCTGATAAATTTGTTTACTGGAATTCTTTCTTTTCTGCATTTAATATGTAACCTTTCAGGGATAAACAGGTTTAAGCTTTCAGGAACTTATATGAGTAAAGTGAAAATCCAGTGATCTCCCCTTCCTTTAAAGGTGAGATTGATAGCCAAATGTCAACTTTAGAAGAACTCAGGTTACTGAGGTTTTCAGTAACTGAGAAACATTTTGCTGTCCTGATTATTTAAGGACCATTTTTATTTCTCATGGTGAATATTAAACCAGTGAAATTTACACCAAGAAATAAGATAGTTTAATTTTATTTAAATGCAGTATATGTGTAGGCATTTTTCATGTATGTTTCTAAATTTGCTCTGCTTCAAGTGTACTCTGCACTAATACCATGTTTTGTCCTTGCAGGTGTAAAAGCTGCGAAAAAGGTACAGGAAATTCTAGTTCAATCCCTGAGCTAACCTGCCAATTTGAGCATAGTGGTAGCAGTGAGCATCAAGTGCATGCTGAAGGCCTAGTTAAAGATGACAACAAAAAGAACAGGATAGTTGCAGAAACTGCTGATGGCATGTGTAAAACTATGAAAAGCTCTTAAAGGAAGTATCCTAAAGGCAAAGCATTTGATTTCCCTGGCATTACAGAGATGAACAGAGAGAGAAATCTATAGAAAAKAATGATTTCATGATTGTGCTAAGTAGGGAAAGATGGTGTGTATGGTAGCTCTGCTGGGAAGCAGTTTTTCATGGGCCTCATCTTAAGCTGATGAGAAGTAACATGGTTCTGCTTGCTTTCATATTAGAGGCTTCTGTTCTGTCACAAATTATTCACAATTAATTTGCTTCTGCCACAACTACTCCACTAACACTATCCTCTCTCCCTCTTCTTTTAACAAAAGAGCTAAAACCCCTAAGTATAGAGCAGAGGGAGAAATTATATCAGGTGTGGCAAACATGGTCAACCTGTGGAAGTGTGGAGAATGTGTCTTAACAGGGAATCTGCAATGCTCTGGATGTAGCCTGGAAAACCAGCTTGCTCATGTTGGTACCATTGCAATGTGAAGTGAGAGCAACTGCAGTCTACAAAGTAAAGAATTACAGACTTCTGTGTGGAAGCCTGAGTGATGCTSTTGAACAGTCAGATAAATGGTGCTCTGGCAGTGAGCTCTGAGGCAGTGCTCACCATGGTGAGGCACAGATTTCTAATATTAGACCTCCAGCTTGAGGATTTCAGTGCCTATTCCTAKAAATGAAATTATGGTATGTGAGGAGGTAGCCTGAAAGAGTTGAAGTTATATGCGTGTGTGCATGCACATGTAGGACTCAGGATGAATTTATCTACTTTGGGAATGGGGGAGAGTGTGGGAGGGAAGCATTTATTCCAGGGGTGTGCTAGGTTTTTGTAGCAGAAAACAGGAGATGGCACACTAAAACTTTAAAGTCCACAGACTSTTGTGAGCTCTGGTAGATTGTTAGGGATGGTGTTAAGGTTAGAGTGTCCTCGTTGAAGGATCTCTGATCTGAAACAGGTTATTCTTGAATAGGGTCAAATCCCCTCTGGTTTGCAGGAAAAGAAAAATAGAGGGTCTGAAATGAGGAASATCTTGAAGGGAAAAACTTAAACATAGTGTTGAAATGAGGTCTGGCGTCTTTAAARGAATATTTCCTTGCCTGAGGTTTGGTAACGTTTTGGAGCTAAGCTTTCAGAAAGACATTTTCTTCTCTTACTTACATGCTGATGCTGATGGAGTTTGTGTTGTTAGAGACAAATTTTGCCTTAGCTTTAGAGGTTTTCTTGGCATTTTGTGGGTCTCAATAACGTGCAAAGACCCATGCTTACAGTTGGGCAATTCAGACTCTGCAGAATCCCAAGTAGGTGGCAAACTTCCAGAAGCCCCAGCTTTTCACAATTCCTTGACCATGAACTAACTTCCTGACCATGTAAGTTATTAGCACTGTCAAAAAAAAATCTAGGTACACAGCTGGTGTCCTGGAAAAATGGACATTCACTGTGAATAAGGACAATCTACTGCTACATTAATGACCAAAGTGTTCCTGCCAGCTACATGCTGTCATGGGGTTTCTTGTTTGTGTTTTTGATCATTTTCACTGGAGTAATGAATGGTTTTAAAATTGCTCAAAAAGCCTCCCACAAAAAGGAGCTGGCATTCCAAACCAGAGAGCTCATGTTGAAACACTGGGGCTGCAGCCCTCCCAAATGGCTGAAGAAGTATTTGTCACCTTGGTCAGCCAAAGGTCACTCTCGGGAATATCAATCAARTGAAAAACAACGTGGGTACGAAACTGAAGTCACAACAGCCTGCAAAAAGTCCAAATTAGGCATGGAGGGCTGGCCTCCAGCAGGGATTTTGACATGAGGATGGCAGAAAAGTCCAGCATGTGGAGGTCCAGAAAGTAACACCAGAGACCTGCCAAAACTCCAAAGCTGCTGCAGTGCAATGTTGGGAACCATCCCTTTTCTGTGCCCCTCTTTACCTTTTATCTGCCATATTTTTTTAAGGACAGAAATTCTTCAGAGCAGCGTATGACAATTACCATGTGTCCTACCACACCGGGTCCTGAGCCATACTGGAAACCCCAAGTGCTGTCCGCCAGGGTGAAACTCCCTCATGTACCCAAACTCTAAATGTGATCTTTAAAGGTCATGACCCTATGGAGAAGTTGAGAAGGGAATTCTTCACTGTGAAAAGCAAAAGCTGGGAAATAGTCTYTCTTAGCTGGGCCTGCAGGAGAGTTCAGTTTCTCTTCCTGCCCCACTGGAGAGTCACAGTACATATTCACCGAATAACAGTCCCTGAGGAGGAAAACGATTTTAAAAAATCAGAGATAAGACTGAATTGCAGAGCCCCCTTGTGAGTATGAAGCTACATTGGTATAGTCTAGTGGTCTTCATTTTGCCTCTCCCTACTGTTGTGCAGAATATAAGTTAATAAAGGAGTCCTTGTCTTAGTAGTGTAGCTCCGCAACAACAACCTTTTTTTTCTGAGCCAGAGCTGCTGAATTAAAACCCTTCTTCAATAACAGACAAAGACCTATCTATAAAACTTAAAGTAAGTGTATTCAGTTCTTGAATGAGCTTATCTAGGGAAAAGAGGAACTAAAACATGAGAGAGACAAGCACTGCATGTGACTGCTCATATGCTCTATTTCTGTTTTGTCTTTTGTAGATGATATTCCTACTCCACCAGCACCATTTGATCACCGGATTGTCTCAGCCAAAAGGGTGGGGATCAGCAATTATTACAATGTCAACGAGGATGAAATTCTGGGAGGGTAAGTCAGGTGAAGTAAATCAACTTGGAAAGCAAGGCACAAATTTACAGCCAAGCACCCCAGGAGGTGGATGGAGGCAACGTGCCTCAGTAGAGCTGAAGTCATGAAACTCTAAGCTCTTACAGTGCTTTTTAGAGGAATGAAAAGAGGAGGCTGGTTTTACAATGTAAGTTAATTTTGGCTTACTATTTGGCACCAGCAAACTTGGCTTGTGTTTGGCATTGTTCTAGGTCAGCCAGATACCCTCAGGGTTTATGACAGGTCTCCTAGTATTCTGTGATACTTTACCTCACATTACAGACAGCAATATGTAGAGGCATGTTGTAGTCTTCTTCCTCTCTGTGAGTTTCACCCCTGAAAACACACATGTTTTCAGATAGATTAACAGGCTGGTCTGACAGGCCATGGAGTTATTTATCTCTCATTCTGACGTTATTTAGGAGAGTGGGATACTGTAATTTTTCATGGCAGCATAGTCTTGGGCTTTATTTCATCATGAAATCACAACTGTCCCATGGTTGGTGCAGTGGAGGAACGATGCAATGCAGAGGGGCAGCTGATACACATAAGTGAGTCATTATCCTTACAAAATATCCTTGACTTTGCTGGAATTAATCCATGCATGTTACAAGGTGAGTGCARTGAATCATACAAGTGGGATAATACCAGTTAGAACACTGTGTGATGATTGTGTGCCTAAATGAGTAGTAGCAAATGCAGTCTACACAATAAAATGGCAACAATAGAGCAATTGAAATGAAAGCCAGTAGGGAGAGGGTTATTTATGTTGTTTGTAATGTAGTTTACATTCAGAGTTGACATCTGTACCCCTGGATGATTTTTTTTTTCTCCTYCTTTTTCCTAGAGGGCGATTTGGGCAAGTGCACAGATGTGAAGAGAAGTCAACAGGTCTCAAGCTGGCAGCCAAAATTATAAAAGCAAAAGGTCCGAAACAGAAGGTTGGTAGAGCTTCTGTTCCCCAGTGGATCACACACTTCAGCTACACAACAGAYCATGACAAAGTGTCTCACAAACTGTCATACTCGTAGGACATGCTGGATTACCATTAACTGTACCTCTATTTGCTTTCTCCTCCTAAAGTTCTAGTGGCTCATCAAAGTACTATTTTTTGGGTGTTTTCTGGTTTTTTTTTTTAATTTTCTTTTATTTTTCTTTGTTTTGCTTTTGTTACTAATTCTATTAGTGTTTTCTTTAATGGTAAAAACATTTGTCAGGCCTGTGACAGAGGGTATTCCCTCCCAAGCAAACTGCAGTCTTTGCTGCAATGGCTTGATATCAGTGTGGGGGCTGCTGATAACAGACACAATCTGGGCTCCTGACATCAGCACAAATACAGATGAGAGGAATTATTTGGGGCTGTTTTGCAAACCTCTTGGCCCTCTGGGACCAGCTTTCACAGGAACGATATGCATAATAWCCTTTGTGTGACATCAGTGTCAAGAGAGCGATTTGTCTCAGGTAACTGGAGTTGCTAAGGTGTAGCTGGTGATCACTAAGAATCCCTTTACAGAGACTGACACCACCAGAGAATGATTCAGCATGTCTAAAATAGTTGGTCTGAATGGAGGTTCCAGTCTCTCCTCTGACTGCAAAGACAGGTTTTGAGGATTGGCCTGGACTTTTCTTACCTTGATTTTGTGCACCTACAGCTGTTTGAACAAAATTCACTTCTGCTTCTCTTTTTTCTTTACATTGTTGTAAGCCTACCACTTCTCCATGTGGGCTCTCCTCTTCCTTTTCCACCTTCCTATTCAAATAACTTATTACTGAAACACCCCACTCATGCTCTGAGTTCAGTCTATTTGTTCCTGTAGCCTTCACATCTACTCCTGCRGGRGCCCTGAGTTTGGTTGCCACAAGTGAATGCATGAGAATAAAGTAGTTTTGCTTCAAATGTAGCATCTGAAGCAATACTCATGGCTCTTTACAGGATGAAGTGAAAAATGAAATCAATGTYATGAACCAGCTGAATCATGTGAACCTCATCCAGCTATATGATGCCTTTGAATCTAAAAATGACATTGTACTCGTCATGGAATAGTAAGTGTGTTCTTTTCCTTTCTGTGTTTACTACTTTTGCTGGGATTGTCAATTTCCTTCTTGCTTTCTCCTGAAATTAGAAGTAGAGCTTCTTACAGGTGGAAAACAYGTATGAAATATGTTCTCATGAACAACAGAAAAAAAAAGGGAATTTAAGAGAAAAGTTTTCCCATGTAGCCATTTATGCATTTTTTCCAGTGGTGTGCCACAGTCCTGGTGCTGTAAAGCAACTACTCCAGTTGAAGATAGAGCTGTTTTACATRTCTTTAATTTAATGCTTTAATTTGTCTCAGCCAAGAAACAAACCTCTCAGAATATCTCCTATTCTGTGAGGCAAACTAGAATGAATTTTACACTGAAGAGGAGCCAGATGTGGATGATTGTGCCTAATCCTTATACTGGGTGCCTGAATGATGAACCTGCTTTATATGCTGGGTTTTCAGGCTAATTAGGCATAAAATACCTGCCTTAAGGTCAAGATAAGCAGATGTTGTCTTAAGGAAGCCAAAAGGGCCAAAACTAAAACATCAAAAGGTATGGTAGAATGTTCAAAGGTAGGTGAGTTTGACTATTCTTGACATTCTCAGATGTCTCCTGAATTTGGTCTACATGATTAACATATCACAAAAGAAAAGTATCTGTGTACCTATGAACAGATAAGATGGAGGCATACTGAAATGTGAAGAGAAATTAAGTAATTTTTGTTGACTTAAGTAGTTTGAGATTCACATTTTGGTTCCATCCCTCTTAAACTCAGAGTGAAGATTCTCTATCATGTTGTCTTGGTTTTCCATAGAACCTCATTAATTTCACTGGTACAACATCATGACTCAAGATAGCATAATATTAAAATTTAGAGATTTTAATGGTTTTCAATGGATGGGAGATTGGACGCTTAGGCCTTGTAAGAGGTTCAGGCCAGTATGCATCAGAACCAAGTTTTCAGAAAGTTAGAACAGAGTACAAGCTTATCTTACTGAACTTGATTGTGAATGATCAAAATAGTTAGTAGTGTAGTTTCTGCATTGGTCTTACTGTGTGAGATTGGATTTTAACTTGGTCACTGCTTTATTATATTTTTCTCCTCAGTGTGGAAGGAGGGGAGTTATTTGACCGAATTATTGATGAAAACTACAACTTGACAGAGATGGATACTATCTCGTTCATAAAACAGATCTGCAAGGGAATTCAGTACATGCACCAAATGTACATTCTTCATTTGGATCTCAAGGTAGAGTTTTGAGATGTCTGTTTTGTGCAATGACAGATGTGGAAATTCTTATTCTTAACGGTAGGCCATAAAGCTTTGCAGATTCCTGTGGCAGAAACAACAAAGAGCCCTATTCTTTTATTCTATTATTTCAATGCATAGTTACTTTAACCACATTGAGATCAGTTAAATTACTACAGGATAAGTAAATTAGATGAGAATTGTGGTCATATGTCATCAAGCCTCATAGTGCCTAAATTTTCCACAGACTGATTTTACAGACAGCCAGCAGCTGACTACAAATACACGGCTATTTTCAATTTCAATATTTTGATCTTGAGATATTGTGTAAAAGTTATTTAATTCAACTGCACAAGATATATATTTTACGTGTCAGCCATGGGATGGCAATTATCCCTGTTTTACTATGTGGAAATCAAGGCGTGAGTGAGTGGAACTTAATTCAAATTTCATTCAGGATCAATGTAAGCCCTACACAACTTTCTGAGGACTGCGCTAAATTGCTGTTGTTGTGAAAAGGCACCAATAGATAGCCAGATTAGAGGAAAATGCATTAAAAAGTACTTTCTAAAATGAAAGAAATAAAAATAGTCAGTGGCTAATGTAACAAATACAGTGTATCTATGTTGGATTAGACAATAACTGCTAGTGTMGCTGAAAGCCCAGAGGAAGGTGACCTGGCCTCTACCATGTACTTATGCTCAGAACTATTTGACTGCATATATAAAAAGTATCCTAACTTATTTTTAAAAACAAATCCACCAATTGCACATTCTTACTCTGGCTGACTGCAAATGGTCAACTGCTACCCCTTAGAAAATATTTGTTGCTATTTTTCATTAAACTGTACATTTCAGCAGGCTCTTTTCCCCTTAGTCCAAGTTTTTATTAAATAATGGACTTGTTTCTTACCTCTATTTAGTGCAGGAATAAAATGGGATGATGTCTTTAGTTTTATGACTGGCTAGAAAGCTTCTTAATGATCCCTGAGCTTTACAAAACAATAAAAAGAAACAAGAAGTGCACAAGATGGTTTTCTCTTTGGTGAGATTTTTATAATGGCTGCTGTTTTTGGCTTGTCATAACTGAGTTAATATAGTACATCTTTAATGTTGTTAGCATATATATTATTGCAGTGGCTAAGGAAACGAGCAGATGCTTGTTGGGACCCGCTTCAGTAGCCAATCAATGACCAGACTTAACTTTTCTCTTTCTCTRTAAACATCCAGTTACCTAGAAACCTGTCAAACAGAAGTTCATGCAGTTCTTTGGGACACATTAATTRTGACCTTGAGATGGCACAATTTTAACATGGGGTCAAACTGCTGACAAAAAGATACATATACAATCCAAGAAATTAATCCCAAAGACCTCTTCTCATGCGCTGGACAGCTATGGCTTCTCCCTTCTGTTTTGCTTGTTCATAGATTGATGTCAGTAACAAATGAGTTTGGGAAAGAAAGCTTGAAATTGAAAGAAAATCATCATGACCATAATCATCCAGTACCTCAGAAASTAGGGACATATGGTGTTTAAAAGTCCTACATGTAAAATGAATTAGTAATGGTGACAAAGGTTAACTAATGTTTTAAGTGTTGAGGGCTGTTTTGTTTCAAAGAGTACTCACTGAACAGTAAGACAGAAAAACTGTAAAAGTGCTGGCAGTGAATATAGGACTGCATTTTAGGTATTTACATTTCAAAGACAATTGGACGAATCCTTCCCTCTGTTCCTTCTGTATGACTTTGGAGTGATTCTTGGAAGTAAATGGATTCTTGCCAGGAAAATGAAAAGTAGCATTTGGCAGTATGAAAATCCAGAGAGATTCAACCTGTGAATCCTCTCTTTTGCTAAAATACCTGAAAAAGCATAAAATTGATGTGAGAAGCTTAATATATTAATGTTCAAYCTGACAGAACATTTGAGTACTCACAAATGTAAGGCTGTACCATAAATTTCAAAGCCAAAAAAAGAAGATTCTTAAAAAAAACCCAACAAAACCAGTGTCATCTTCTTATGGTCTGTCAAATCAGAGTGACAGCATCCTGAAACCCCTCTTTGGAAGCCTGCATTCTCTGTCCTACTCCCCCTAATGAGTTCTTTATCTGAACTGCTGGCTTATGTCAGATTGAAAAGCTGTGGAGAAGAAAAAGCAGTTTCACAGCACAAAATGCATGGCTCCAATTGCCCTGTGACAGCAAGGGGGGTATCCATGCAGAGACATCTGACCAAGGAGGAAAGCAAAAKGTGCTTATGAGATATGTGCACTGTGATTAGTGTTTTCCTCCCTATGGTTTACTAAAAGCCCAGTTTTTCATACTTGTTTCTCATTCAAGTGTTCGTTTTTTTTTGTTTTTTTTTCCTTTTGTTTCTTTTGGCAGCCTGAGAATATCCTGTGCGTGAACCGAAAGGCAAATCAAGTAAAAATTATTGATTTTGGATTGGCAAGAAGGTACATGCATGTGTTCTCACTGATCATARATGAATTAGGAAACAATGAAAGAAGTATTGTATCCCTACAATGATGCATTTGATACATAATAGACTTCTACTGTTCTTTGGACAAATTTGTTTCTTTTAAGCAGGAATGTTTGTTTCTTTTAATGTGSAATGTTTGGAGCTGAGTGAAAAAGATTTGTCCTGAAACCTTCTTTTCAGGTAGAAGGTTGAAAGAGAGCTGATTCTCACTAAAYATGCATATAAATATCTTGGAGGAGTTAAAATGGACAAAACCAGTGGTACATCTTGTCTAGTCTCTTGTCTCCAGTATTAAGAGATTCTTCAAAAGAGAGTTGAAGATACCATTGAGGACTCTTTTATATCCCATGCTATATCACTTCCTAGTTTAATTAGGTGTTATAACCTCAGTGAACGATTTATTGGTTAAAAATTTCATGCCTATGATATGGAGAAGTCCCAAAAGGATGGTAAGAGCTGCTCTGAGAAGTTCTTGAAATATGAATTTCAAGAACTTTTATATGCAACTGTTTATATAGCAGTTGCATTTTGGCCTAGTATGATTTAAAGCTTGCAAACCCTTTTCATTCTATATATGGGCATATTTCTTTTTAGTTTGTGCCTCTGTCTGTCCTTGTTTTCCTACTAAATTTTCTGTATGCTTCTGGAATTCCTCTATGCTAGACAATTGACAATGATACTTTAATAAGAACTGTAATTGATGCCCTTTGTTAATGTTTCCATTTCCTAGATATAAACCCAGGGAAAAACTTCGAGTTAATTTTGGGACTCCAGAATTTCTTGCTCCTGAAGTTGTGAATTATGAGTTTGTCTCTTTTCCTACGGACATGTGGAGTTTAGGAGTCATTGCTTATATGCTGTAAGTAGGATTCAGTATCTGCTTTGTAAGCTGTTTCCAGGTTGAACCATGTCTCTCATACAAGTTTGCTGTTATGTTGGAAGAGTGAAAAAAACTACCCAAAAAAGGAAAGGTAGACTTCTTTCCAAGTTCCATATTGAGAAATCTCTCCGCTTTTCCAATTGCCATGAATTTTTCATCGTTGTTTTTTTGCACATCTCTCAGGAGTGTTTGAGCTCCACACTTCCAGAATAATGTAAAATGCTTGGTAAATTCCTAGTGGGTAGTGCAAGAGTGGTGAGAGGTCTGGAAAATATGACATATAGTGAAACTCAGGAATGCTTGGTGCATTAGAGAAGAAGGGTGGTTATTTAAACATGTAAATAGATGAGAAAATGGGAATGGTCTGGAGACTTTCTTGGGCAGTAATATTTTGTAAGATCGGTCAGAGTGACAGAACAATCRTAGCTGGCACATTGGAGACCATGTGCACAAAGAGGGAAAGACAGGAGGACTGAACATATTCCTTTTTACTTCAGCCTCACTGGATTGTCTCCTTTTTTGGGTGATGATGACAATGAGACCCTCAACAATATCCTGGCCTGTAACTGGGATTTTGAAGATGAGGAATTTCGAGATGTTTCTGATGAGGCTAAAGACTTCATCTCAAAGCTTCTCATCAAGGAAAAATGGTATATAAWCCTGTATCTTTGAAATGTGTGTCCCATGCCATCATGACACAGTTGTGTCACTTGTGCTGCTTCATTGCAGAGCTAATATGACTTAGCTAAGTTTTTTGTGTTCACATATAGTATTATAATGATACTTCGTTGATGTTGTTCATTGTATCTATCAAATGATCTGAAATTACCTGAATACATTTTTTGCTGTGAAACAAAACTTAATTAATCTGCCATCTRTCCTACTGTTCTGAAATGACAGTGTTGCATGATAGCAGAACACATGACCTGTAACAGATAATTGCTGAATTGTAAGATTCTGGGAAAAACTCTTAATAGCATTCTGGTTTTCCTCTAGCTGGAGATTAAGTGCAACTGCTGCCTTAAAACACCCATGGTTAACAGACCACAAGCTCCACTACAGACTTCAGGTCCCTAAATTTAAATATCCTTGTGCATCTGCTGTTGCCCTCTTGTGTTGCCACGTCACTTTGCTTTGACATTTTTCTTAACTTCATTTGAGTCTTTGTTGCTGATTCATTTCTTGCCAGTGTGAGCCACATGTGTCCCCTTGCTTTTTTTTAGCTGTTACAATTTGCATGCTCACACTTGCTCATCAGTTCTTGCATGACCRGGAGGAAATACAAGATCCTGCAATGCTGTGTGTTGCTGAGTGGATCCATTTCTTAGCAAAATGAAACTATGTACAAAATCAGCACTGAATTACCATATGAAAAGGATTTTCCAGCTGGGGATGATTTTTGTTTCTGCTTTGAAAACCATTTCAGGGTCTCCYGAAGGCCCCCGTGAGTGCTGTTAGATTTCATCCTACCTGTCCCAAAGAGACACCTTTCCCAACAGAGTTTGTAACTTCACCTAGTGCATACCTTTGTACTTAACCATATTCTTGCCTTCAATGGTAACCAGTTTAGAGGGCAACAGAAAAGAATAATTTTTTGCTCAACCATAATAATCGCTCAAGCAAACAATTTCATTGGGCTGAGCTGGAGGAACAACAAGATTTAAAATCACTTTGGTTATTCCTGTGTCAGTAATTTTTGGAGATTCACACTGTTGGTGRCACCACTGTTGGCTGTTTCTAAGCGGGTCCTCTCTGTGGTTCAGTGGTTCACAAAGGGATAATTTTAAGCAGGTTTCAGAATTTTTACAGCATTGAAGTGCAATATTTGCTTCTTCCTTTGCAGGCAAAGCACTTCTGTGTTAAATGAAATGACTGTTGTATGGCCTAGAATGTGTATGTCAAGGTGTATTTTGATATACAGCCATCACTAAGAATTAGAAGATCATATTAATTAACAAAATGATATTATTAAAACCAGAACAAAGATTATGATGATAATCAACCAGAAGTAGCTCTGCTGATGAGGTGGTGGGATAYTGAATAGTGTCTTGACAGCTCTGTCCTTGCAAGATATTCCTGTTATACAGAGTTATTCTGGATAAACAGAATTACTATAAAATAGGATATAAAAATCAAATAAATTATTCTAATTTTCACTTAAATTTAGTTTTTGTTGTATTTTCCTAGAACAACAATGCCCATGAGATTATTAGAAGATCTGTGTGTGTGCACAGTAAAAATAGGAGACTTKGTCATGGTTAAAATATCTTCAGAGGTTTTCTTAGGTTACAATTTGATTCCTTTAGTTGAGCTCCAGTGAAGCTCTGATTTTGGCACTCTGGGGAGAAGGCAGCCTTTTCCAAATGCTGCAAGAACATAAACTGCTGTCCTTCTTCCTTATCATCAACTTTTTTCTCAGGAATCCCTACCATAACGCAAACCTTGCAGCTCATGTTGTCCTTTGCATCTTGTCCCCCAATATTTTTTTATTCCTACTTCTTGTGCTTTGCAAAATAGCTTCACTAAACGTGCTGATGTTGCAGTGTTCTTCTGCCATTGCCTTAAGTAGAAGTAAGATTGATCTACAATTAATGCTCCAATAATGGTATCTTTCTTTATTTTTTTCCTTTGCTTTCTTTTTGTTTTTCTTTTTCCTTAGAAAAGAGTGGCTAAAGGTGGCTGTGCGACTCAAGCTCCCCTGGCTCAATAACCTCTCTGAAAAAGCTGCCAAACAGAAGGTTTGTTTCAGGTCCCAAATGTTCATTCAGATGTAAAAGCTGTAGCCCCTGTGGAAGGGATCAGGGGGCAGCTGAAAGCCTTGCACGGTCCAAAGTGCACGGTCCAAACTCTATTCACCACCACCATCCCTGCTGCTGTCTGGAAAGCATTCAAAATGTAAACTGGCTCTATTACTTAGACCAAGTAACAGCAATGTGCAAAATAATTAATGGGTATGGAGCCATATGTGCTGCAAACCCTGGCCATTTTAGAGGGAATGGTTATGCTCCCACTGGCTCTCATGGGGCAGGATTTCACCCAATAATTTTTTAGTGTTGAAAGCTTTCGGGTTTTCATGCTGTGGTTAGAAATACAGTTTAAAAAGGGTAGAAATATGAAAAGTAATAACTTYTTAGCAGAGGCACGGGCCAGACCCTCAGGGCAGCTTGACTAACTGCAGCAAAATCAAAGCAAGGTGTCCTTTAAAAGAAGTTACTTCACACATCTGAGGACCCTGTTCTGACAGGACACTTACCATCCCTTTTAGCAACCTGAACAGTTTTGACAGAGCATCTCTCTGTTTTTTCCCTGGCTCCTTGTTTATGCCCTTTCATTAACAAATAGTTCATTAGTGGTTCTCAGGCTGGCTTGGTTGCCTCCCTTGAGGATCAGGGAAACTCAAGTCTGCTTTCATGTTCTGTCTCTGGTCTTTGACCAAGGCAYACTCACCCAGGCACTTTGAAATTGCGCTGCCTCAGGCGGTGCAGTGTCTCCACAAACCAGTGCACCAATTCCCACAGCCACTTTCACCAACTACCACGGAAGTTGGTGGCTCTGCTGATGGACCAGGGGAATTGCTCATAGGTTCTGGAGGCTGTCTCTGGGGAAAGCTCAGTGGAGGGTCAAGATGTGGATTAGGCTGAGAACACACACATACACTGTAAAACCACTTCCTTTTAGTAGTGTGTCATGAGTAACAACAGGATGACAAAATAAAAGTAGTCCAAGCAGGTTTTTATTGGTGCCATCATCCATCATCTGCTTGGGTAGGACAAGTGATATACTGGTGTTTTTTTGCAATGTCTTTTTTTTTTTTTTTTCAAGCAGCACGTGAAAAAGAGAGTATTGTGAGAGGTTGGAATTTTTGTTCTAAGTAAGATTAGATCAGAATTTATACAGTGTAGTGCAGTAACACAGAAGTTAATGATCTTTACATGAGCTATTTTGGGGACATGAAGATGCCTTTCCATGATACAGTGGAAGCCAGTAAGGACTAAGGTACCATTACTCCATCCTACTTGGTCTCCGAAGYCATGTAACTTCCTGATACGGTAACATCTGAGCACCAGCTTCTGGAGTGGAAATCCAGGGAATCTGTACCTCTTTGTGATCCTCAGTATTCACCTTCACTTCACTGGTGCTGAGACAGATTCCATGAAGCTTTGTGTGCTTCTACATAGTAGTTTTCTAAAGAGGTTTTCCAGCTTTTGTTTTTGGAAGACTCGTGTTTTCATCTATATTTCCCATTTCAAGCCACTAACTTGTGGCAACAAACAGCAACAAAATGGTGAAAATTCTCCCTCTCTAATGCAGGAAGCACTGTATTACACAATTTTCTATTGCAACCAAAGTCAGCTTTAAGATAAATTGACTGCTCCACAGCAGTCAAAATTATTTTAAAATAAACTTTTAATAGCTTTGTAACATAGTAACCTATCCATGATCTAACTTGCAGGAAAATCTGGTTTTGGCTTTTGCAGTGTTATTTCCTCTGTGTGTGTTTTTCTTTTTGGAGTTTATTTGAGTTTACTTAATGAGTGGATCTAAAGTCATAACGGTGCTTTATTTTTAAAGAATCCCTTTAGCTATTTTTATCAGGCAAGTAGTATGGTTACCACATTTAACCCAAAATAATGCACTCAAGTGCCAGTTGATTTAGACCTGGCATTATAAACGCTTGCAGTGGTTACACAAATAAATGGAGAGGTTTGCAGCATGCCTTTGCATACTGTGATCTGTATGACAAGAGAGGCAAAAAAGCAGAGTAGCTGCATTTCAAGAGAGACCTTCAGGACCAGTTCTCCACTTAACAAAGAGGCCTTGTCTTTTTAATATTGTATAAAACATTTCACAGAAAAGGTGGCTGCAAGAATCCTTTGTAAGCAAGAAGCTTCAGTAATGCTTTCTTTTCTTTATGCACAAGGAAACCACCATGTGGTTGTCTTAGAGCACTTAACCAAATGAAAAAATATACTGCTGAATTAACTGGATTCTTGTTTTGTTTCTTTTGCAGAAAAGCTGCTGTGTGGTTACTGCTGCTAAGAGATTTGAAAATATCAGCAGTCTCGGTGCTTTACCCCCCTGCCACGACTGAGACTTCTACTAAATGGACCAACAGCACTTCAGTTGCAGGACAAGTCCCAGCATTGCAGAGCTGCTTCTTCTCTATTCAGCTGTTGAAAGAAGGAAAGTATTTCTCCAGGATGCAGGAATGTGTTTCTTCTGGAGCAGCATGTTCTCCATGCCTGCAAGTGCTACATTAGCTTGGTTTCATAAAGAACTTTTCTCTATCTAGTCTTATATCCTCATTTACTTTTCAAAGGCTCCTTGAAGTTCAAATTATGATGTAAAATTAACTGTTTCTCATCTCAGTCTAGAAGGTAATCTGTCACTATGTTATATCTGTAGCCAAGTTTCATTTGACACTGGAGTAAAATAATTTWAAAAAATGCAGCAAATTTAAAGCTGCCTTAGGTAGAAGATTTGAAGTTTGTTTTTCCTGTCACACTAAAATGAGTTAAGAATTAGCTCAACCAGAGTTAAAGCCACGTTAATGTAACCAGTGGAAGGGAGAAATGAGGCTTTCCTTGTGTGTAGGTGAATTTGCTGCAACTGTGAAATGGTACATTTCAGGATTTTTTAGCCTGATGGATTACTGCTCGCTGTAAATACAC